CCAACAAAGGCTCCATTGTCATTCGAATTTGCAGCTCATAGGATCACTGCATCTTCTTTATGTGACCAGAAAATCTTTCGTACTCCCTAAGTCTTTTGAATCTCAAAAATTCCAAAGCAGAAATGCTTTTCTACAATCAGAGCGTGTGCAATTTTATAGCCATCATTCATCTCATGCTATCTCCTCTCATTTTTTTGGTGGACTTCAGGACTGTTTGATATTTCATGCGAATCGCAAGTCTAATGAAACACCAACTACTAATGGAGATTCGAAAAACCATCCAAAAGTCGAGAGAAGGGGATACGCCGATAATATTTTGAGTGAAGGAAAGGTGGCTCGTTACACCTTTTTAGGCTCATTAACAGCGCAGATTTAAAAGAAAATAATCTCGCCACAAGAATCTTAATCACCTAACAAGTAAGTTGAACGAAAGCTTCGCACATATAACATTTCATTTATTAATAAGTAAAAACAAACCACTTGCGAAGTTCTGCAAGTGATGTAATGAATTTTGACTAATTTCAAGATTTCGCGACATTTCTGGAAGCTCGCTCATCTCGGTCCATCGCTGCTTATTATAATGTGGGTCTTGGAGTTACACTCTTTTCAGCGCAAAATATATGTTTTTTGCTGGCCAGTAGTGATCTACAAGTTATGACAGCTGTTGCCTGACCTCTCCATTGGATGCTTCGGGATGGTATGCTTGTAGAAGATGATTCTCCCGAGCGCGAATTGAGATGCAAAACTATGAAAGATTTGAAAACAAGCTTGAAAAAGAGTACAAGTTTTGCCTCGCTTGTGGCAATGATTCCAGTTCACATAAAGTTCAAAAAATTAAAACCCGCTGAATACTTCGTGTCTTCATAGACTGCAAGTTGACTGTGGCCCCTCAAACAAGGGACCAAATTTAGTATGCGAGAAGATGAGCTCTTCTATCGTCTACCATAAAACAAACAAAGATGAAGTTCAAAAAATAGAGCCTTTGAGTGAGTAGAATTTTTGGTTTATCAAAGACGAAATCAAATCAAAGCATTCGCTAATTGGTTGCTGATATGCTCATCGAGAGCTACACAGAATTCATTTGATTGAACTCAAAAGATCAAATTGATTGCGTTTTCTTGTCATGTATCTGCTAGAATATGTCATTCTCGGCGACAAGGATAGCGCTCAAGGAGCGCGTAATCTAGACTGAAACAGTCCGCATAATCCGCTGGTTTCTCTAGCATGGTTACGCTCCGATATGGAAAACCTGCATAGTTTGAGTTTTCTATGGATTAGCATGCTAGGAATCGCTATAAAACGTGCTAGCACAATTGCAATTCATCCCACCAAGGAGCAACCGTTCTAAGGTAATAGAATCTCATTTTATCTTTTCATACTCCAATCTTTTGATTGAAAATTTATTTCATTTTTAACGTTTTAGGATGATCAAGTACGCAGTCGTCGGATTTGCGGTATTCGCTGCATGTGAAGCAATCTTCTTCGGTGGTGGCGGCGGTGGAGGAGGAGGCTGCTGGTGAGTCATAAAGTTTCATAGATTTTCAATTTTTATATAAATCCTACTTTTTAGCCCTCCCCCGGCACCAGCTCCATGCTGCCCACCTCCAGCTCCAGCACCAGCACCATGCTGCCCACCTCCTCCATCACCTT